ACAGGGGACGAGGGCTCACGCCCCAGCCCCCAGAGCATTCCAATAACCTCCTTTCTAGAATTGCTTCTTTGGGTGGCCGCCAGCTGCTTCCAATTGGTGGTGACTCCTGTATTGCAGCGCAGAACTGTCTGGGTGTCCCAGGTATCAAGTAGGCCCCAAGCCCTTTCACCTGCACTTCCACGGGTGTGGTCCAGTCTCAGACCTGCCAGTGCCCAGTGAGTGCCAACCATTTGTACCACCCAGGGAGCTATCTCTCTGTTGTTGTTGTTAGGGGTGGCTGAGGCCATGAGTCCGTTGTGAGTCATGGCGACCTTAGCTTAGAGGAAAGGGACAAAGGGCGCTTGGTAGTGGCGCTTCCTAAACTGTGTGCTCTGGATCGCCACTTCTTGTGCTTTGCAGCAGCTCTGGGAAACACCGTGTTCTCCTTTCTGAACATATTGTTTAAAAAAATAATAATAATAATGTGTTTTACTATTATTATTTGTGCTGCTGTTCCTCCCGGATAGAGTTTGAGGTTCAGCTGAGCAGGTAGCTCAAGGACATGCCGTCTAGTGCTTCACAGCAGCTGCATTCTGTGGTGCTTCCACGGCACGCTGCAGGTCTTGCTGCCCAGGCCATCTCCTGGGACCTGAGCGTCAGAACAAAGACATTCTCTCTCTCTTTCTTCCCATCGAAGGCGCCACCTCCAAGGCTGAGTCAGGGCAGAGAGTGCTATTGAGGGAAGACGGTGTTGGCCGATCCACTTCAGCTACGTAGCACTGACTGATGAGAACAAAAAGGAAACCCAAACGCTGCAAGAGCCGGTTGCGGTCCCCCCTGCGGTTGAGTTGTTTTCGTCTCACAGCGACCCTGTGTGACAGTCAGCACATGCCCCTCGCTCGCTCTGATCTTCACAGCGCTGCTGTGCCCTCGGGGCTGTTGTTACAGCCATTGGGTCCCTCCATTACCTTAAGACTCTCCCTCTTTTTTTGCTGATCCTCTACTTTACCAAGGGTGAGGTCCTTCTCCAGGGACGGATCCTTCCTGATAACGCCCAAAGCACACGAGTTGAAGTTTCAACATCCTCACTTCTAAGCAGCATTCGAGCGGTGCTTCTGCCGGGCCAGATTTGCTTGTTGTTCTGGCAGTGCATGGTCTGATCACTATCCCTCTCCACCGTGCCATGCCAAGGTGCCAAGTCTCCTGTCTTCCTCATTCATTGCCCGACAGTTCACTTGCATGTGCGCTGAGGGAAAGTGCCGGGACTGGGGTCAGGCGCACCTTAACCCTCGGGGGGACGACGACGTCTTTGCATTTCAACCACCAGGAGGACCCTCAGAGTCGCTCACAGGTCACTTATCGGAGCAGACAGAAGCAAAGACCCTGGAGGTGTCCCAGCTGGAGGCCCCCACCGCAGCCCGAAGCCTGGGATCTTCATCAGGGTTCAGTGCCGGCTGGTGTTGGGGGGTGTCAGCTGCTCTCCACTGAGCACCGTTGTTGTTGTTGGGTCTCGAGTGGCGGTGGGAGAGGACAGGAGGGTGAG